TCTAGAGCATCAAGAGCGTTCCGCACTGATGTTAGCAGCGCGTTCATGCCTTGCTGGCCATAGTCTTGCAGCTGGTGGCAAAAGCAGTTGAGCGAGTTAAATTCGTCGAGTCCAGTCGTGTATATCTGATCAGACTATCCGATCAGCAAAGCGCCGCGGGCCATGCCACAAACACCACATCTAATTTACAAGCTCGAATAAAAAAGAGATTTGATATATGTTTCTTTTTCTTATGTTTTTACATCGGGACATTTACGCAGTGCTAGTTTTGATAGCATAGCGACAGGGCAGGTTAACACAAAGTCTCAGGTTCTGGATTCTAAAGCATCAAGAGCAAGAGGAATGAGAGCGTTCGGCACTGATGTTGGCAGCTTGTTCATGCCTTGCTGGTCATAATCTTGAAGCCGGTGACAAAGCAGTTGAGCGAGTTGAGTTCTTCTAGTCTTGGATATCAGGCGGCTTGCTGCGACTGCAGCTTTAGCAAGTTCAACAGGTCTCGCGTTCTGAGGAGTTGTGGAAGAGAAGCTGCTGTCACTGTTGTGCTGGCGTGAAGGAGTACCACAACAAGAAAATGAAGCGCGCAAAGGCCGTGAGATCGTGGGGCTCGGGAGTTTGGGGTTGTTATGTACATCACACAGCATGATGCTGGTAGTCAGCATGTCCATTGCATTTTGCGCAATGAGTCAGTTCAACTGTCACAGAGCATCTCTTGAAAAGGCTGAAGGTTGATCTTCGCATGATTGTCCTTTGTGTTGGCATCATCGGTGTTCTTGCTAAGATCTTCGCTGTCGGTAGTAGTGGCAGTCGTGCTGGTGGTGGTGGTAGTGGTGATGGGCTGGTTGTGGTGGCGGTGGTAGCAGCAGTAGTAGCAGGAGTGGTAGAAGTGTGCTGGTGGTTGTCGCAGCATTAGTCCATAGTTGCTTGTTCAACGCGCTGAAGATTTAGGCAAGTGATACGACAATATACGTTTGACGCTGAAGATGAAGGCCAACGGGAAAGAGTTGGATCCCAAGCTCTTCGACGCCAAGGAGAAGGAACAGTTTGATTCCGCAGATCAAGCGCCTCTCTCCTGAAGAGTCCCGTGGCATCCCACAGGAGCGGGTTATTCGAGGGCCGGGCCTGCAGCCAAGAGTCGGATAGTGTAGTCAAGAGACCACGCGGCCCACCTTGAGGCAAAAGTCGTCCGGCTTGTAGCCCTTGAAGACCTTCTCCTCAAAAGGCACAAACACCTTGGAGCCCGCAGTCTTTGGGAACAGAGTCATTCCCCGCCAAAGCAAGAGGAGGACGTTGTTTGACCTGGGCCCCCGTCTCCTTCGAAACCAAAGCCTTGGCTTCCTTGGTCAGTATCATGGTGACTCGAGGTCGGTTCCGGAAGCTGCGGCGCCCGATGGATCCGTGCACTTGAGAGGGGTACACCGGTGAGCTCGGACAACTGGTCCACTTCTGCCGGAGGGAGCCGCTCGTTGAGGAGATCCGCCATGTAGCTATAACCTTTTGAAGCAGCGGTCATCACGTAGTTTTGCTTGGTGTCGGTTATCTGCTCTGGAGGTGGTTTTGGTGCTTCCCGGCGTTTGCGAGGTCGGCCCTTGAACCTCAGGTTGGGGAGTGGGCTCGTGAGCACCTTCTTGAGGACTTGAGCCCTGGCATCATCTTTCTTGTCTCCGTTATCTTCAATAAGGAGGCACCCTTGAGGTTGGCGCCCGCGACCAACAAGCATCTTCCCCTCCAGCTCAAGTAGCGATGCGCCATCCGGAAGAAGCACACCGCTGGTCCACGCCAAACGCGCAAATCCTCTTTGTTGCGAGGCTGTCCATGCGCGGACGGCGAGTAGAAGTAGACCATCTTACCCGGGGCGTATTTGCCGCGCCGCGGGTGCGTTCTCCACCAGGCGCTCTTTTCAAAGATTTCTTGAGACGCTCATGCACATCTCCTCGTAGTGTCGCAGTCCGCACCGCTGCCCTCATCTCGCTTTGCCGAGCCATCTCGCCCTCAATCGAGACAGCGTAGCGGCTTCCCACACATGCTCATCTAGCCCAAGGAAGAAGGCTTGCTGTCCAAAAACGAGCGCGTAGGCCGAATGCTCGTTTCGGCTCTGTCACTTCGCTATCCAAACTTGCCCTGCGTAATTGCCCGGTGTAACATGAAACATAAGCTAACAAGCCAAATACATCAAATCTTGGTCTTGATCGAGCTCTTATGTTAGATGTGGTGTTTGTGGCCTGGCCCGCGGCGCTTTGCTGATCAGCAGCAGCCTCAATATACTACAAGACTAGACGAACTCAACTCGCTCATCCGCTTTTGCCAACAGCTGCAAACTTTTGACTATGAAGCCTATGGCTCCTACGACGCTATGACGTATGAGTTGCTCAGAGCTTCAGTGGCCTAGCAACTATATGGACTAAGGGCTCCTGTTGTTGGATGGATAAGTTGCGATTGTTCGGGGGGAGAGATACAAGTCAGTGTCAACGACGAGTACCCCAACCTCCCGGCGTTGGAACACATACCAAGCACATACTCCAAAATCGAATGTTTGTGTGGAACACACGCTAAACCTGCCCTGTCACTTCCCTCGCAAAACTTGCACTGCGTGATTGTCCCAAAGTAGCATGCAAAATAAGCCAACAAGCCAAATAAATCAAATCTCGGTCTTGATCGAGCTCTTATGTGAAATGTGGTGTTTGTGGCCTGGCCCGCGGCGCTTTGCTGATCAGCAGCAGCCTCAATATACAAGACTAGGCGAACTCAACTCGCTCAACTGCTTTCGCCAACAGCTGCAAGACTTTTGACTATGAAGCCTATGGCTCCTACGACGCTATGTCAGCTTGACCAACAAGTCTTCTAAAAGTTCACGATGAGCAGCGGCAATCACCTCCGGATTCACCCACACCTGGGTTCCTTGAGGACCAATGCGCCCACTACCACGATGACCTCGGTGAGAATGGCCGGCTTGGCTCGCGGCTTCCACTTTTGGTTGTTCGACAAGACCCGGGGAGATCTGGAGGATCTTAATTACGCTCAGCATATGGCCTGGCAAAAGCTCCTCGTTTGTGGTACCAGAAGGTCAAGGAAGGCCTCAAAGCCTGTGGCTTCACCGAGATCGACTTCCAGCCACCTTTGTCCACCTCCGCATAAAGAACAAGCAGGTCGTCCAGGCCATTCTTTGTCTTCATGTGGATGACGGCTTCCCTGATCAAGAAGGCTCGCTCGGCGGATTGCTTTGAGGAGCGTCCGCATCCTGAATGATATGAAGAACTGCAATGTTGGCCACTGCGGGCTCTAATTAGCACGTGCCTGGAGACAACTTTGTCGTGGAAGGCCGACTACCACAGGCCCGCCCACTTGGTGCTGCCTAATTTCCTCTACAGCGCGAGCCGCCTCGCTCAGCAGGTGAGTGGTGCTACAGGTCAGACCTCAAGAAGGCGAACACAGTCCTTGCGGAGATGAAGCAGGCGGCCCAGAATGTCCAAGCTCGCTTGTGGATGGAGGCGATCGCTGCCCCCGTCCTCGTCACTTGGATCTGGAGCAGCTGTGGCACCGAGAGGCGAGGTTCCTCGGACGAAAGTGGAGTTTTGACTGGCTCAGGCCGAGCCAGCGTGTTGGAGTTTCGCTCCAACGGCTCCAACAAGGTGTCGCGAGTGGTTCGTTCTTCGATGGGTGCCGAGAGCTGCGCTATGTCCTCCGCTACCGACCGTCTGGTGTACAACCTCTGAAGCTCCATGACACATTAGCCTACGGCAAGCTCAAGGTGGGATCGGATTGGCGGGACCATCTGCAAACCGCTGGCCATCTTGTGACTGATGCAGGATCGCTGTTTAATCACACCGATGGCAGCAGGTTGACCGTTTGATGGCAAGCGAGAGACAGACCTTACTAGACATTTTGTCTGTGAGGCAGATGGTCCAGCTTTGCTTGTGGTGGGTCCATACGTGGAAGCAGTATGCAGATGTCTTGACGAAAGAGATGGCTGATGAACTCTTCCAGAAGTACCGGACTGACTCCCGCATCAACTTGATGAGGCGGAGCAGCTGGAAGAGGACCGAAGGTCTTCGCTGAGCTCAACGAGAGCGAAGGAAGATTCGAATGACCGTTTCGAAAAAGTCGGCCAAGTGATGAATTCCACTTGGACGCCATCCGCTTTGATGTAATGTAGTGGAGCTCAGGTGCAACATTCTCTTTTTGGGATGTGACGCTTTAGGGCATTGCACCTGAAGCTGCGATTGCCGACCCGCCTGATCTCGAGCATCGATGCTTTCGCATAGCAGCACAAACAGCTTTTTGGCTTGCCTTTGCTCGCTTGGTTGTGTGGTTCCTGTTGGAATCATAGGGTAAGCTTGAAAACCTGCTTTACAGAGGCTGTCGTGAGCAGCATCACTGAGTCTCCAAGCTTGCCGAATATGATACAACACAATAACAAATCCAGCACACTGTGCTATGTCGGAGTCTCGTGTGAAACGTGATGTATGGGAGCATTACTTCCATTGTTCGGCCGGCAATACCATCAAGAACACTTGGTCCGTCACGCTGCCCAGTACCGTCGTGCAAACTCGTCATCAGATGTTTTTCCAAACACGGTAGCTATTGGTACCAGGGTGTTACACACACGCACACACATCCCCAGAACCAACCCCCACCCACACCACGCCATCTTCAGACCAGCTCTTCAGACCGACAGACATAGTGACACGGAGGCGCAGGCACGCTTGCATGCACCCACGCACACACGTGCACGCACATACACATTAGTCAACTTTGCCGATGTGAGCGAGCCAGCAGTGTCTTTGATGCTATCTATCACTCGTCATGTACACTGTCGACCATGGCATGGTTGCCAGTCATACATATTTCGCATGCTTCCGAGTGTTTCAACGCAGACTAGTGACTAGTGGCTCGAAGTCCCTAGTTAATCCATGCCACGGAAGGTACAGGTGTCTGGTTATATAGTGAATACGCCAGTTGTTTCTGGCTATTGCTTGCTTGGGTGGCCTTGACGAGTTTCTAAGGTTTTGCGTTGGCCAAGGACATGGAGATGAACGCCGCTAGCCACCTGGCAGCCGTGAACCGCACGGTTCTCTTCGTCAACAGCGACGAGTTGCTTCGCGCGCTCCTCGCTCTCACCGAGGAGAGGGGTGTCAGGTCACTCACGTTGGCAGCATTTGCCGGCAAAAGCATCCCAGCTGCGACCTCTGCCACGAGGAGAAAAATTATCCCCTGGTGTTCGGCTGCGTGGCTGGAAAGGACCGCACCGGTTTGCCACACGGCGAGAGAAATGTTGGAATCAATAGGTGACACCCTTGGACCTTGGGGCCCGGTGGAAAGCCTCGTGTTTCACCTCCCCCTACCCGCGTCGCATCGCGGCGAATCAATGATGACACGAACAATGTCGACAGCGACTGCGTGAATCACGATAGCGGATATGTTCTTATGCCCAGCCGTCATGGTTGGGCTTTCCCTGTTCTGATTCTTTCCGGGTCAGGCGTGGGTCATGAACAATGGAAAGCTTCGGCCGAAACAGTCGCTAGCGTGCAACTGTGCGACCACAGAAAGTCGGCTCGAGCTTATGCAGAGACTAGCACAAATAAAAGTTGCAACCGTTCCTGTGTGCTTTTGTCTGGTCGCCTTTGTACGGAACCCGGGAGAACAGTCGAATCGTCCAATGTGGCCCGGCCACCATTCACGAAAAAGCGCGTGCGTGTCCAGCGGTGCGTGTCTTTGTGACAGAATCTTAAGGTTGAGCTGCCTCATTTTGTCAGCCCTGGGCTGTGACCGCGAGACGATCGTACATGACTATTTGAAGACCAACGAGGCCGCACGACACATCGACGCTTGTAACCAGGTGGCGCAGCACCTCTGGTGCCTTTGCCGAGACCTTCAGTTCTCCTTCGTTTTGTGTGTTGTGTCCCTGTGTCGCTTGTTCCGCTTTGTGACGTTGCAGAGGTGGCGGCAGCTGGCAGCTGAGTCGCCGGAGAGATGGCAGCGGATGCAAGCGACGCTCCCGACACTCCGCTTCGACGCGACCTGGCCGGGTCTCGACGGCTCCGAGCGGCCACCCGCAGAGACGTCGCCCGCGGAGACAGCGGACGTAACGAGGGAGTCACAGTCCGAGTCCGAGGCGAGGCTTCGGTCCTCATGTGGAAGCCACCATGTCCGCTTCACACACGATTGCTCCGAATCTCGGAGGCGCTTGCCGTGCTTCAGGGTTCGGTGGCCTATCTCGGAACTCTCGAGTACACCTTGGATCTGCTGGACAGTGAAGGAGTCAGCGCGTGTTGCTTGCTCCGGACTGCGATGGCGATGGCGAAGTGATGTGCTCAGCGTTTCGCCTGAAGGAGGAGCTCTGGCCTACCTGGACTCCATAGGCTTTGGGGGCCCTGAGCTCGAGAGGCTCCTGGCCATCCTGACGGTGTAAGAGCAAAAAAGGGGACCTGTGCTCAAGTGGACTTCCAGCCACGCTGAGCCTTGGATTTAGATTTGTTGGCTGTGCCGATCCGGTCCTCAGCCACTCCTCGAAGTTGTGCTGATCTGAATTTGTTGATATTGGTGTCGATGTATCTTGCTGCTAGGCCATTTGGCCGCAGATGCCCGTACCTTGGAGTGACAGCCAAGGGCAGGGGCGAAACTGCAACCAGCTCAGGTCAGGCATGGTGCAGGCTGACCGGGGTCGACAATCGAAATGCAGATGTTGATTTCATGACGTGCGTTTCCAGGTACCAGCCGGGTCCGCACCGTTTGGAGCTGTGGTGGCGGTGGGCAACCCACCAGCCCCAATGGGGCCGGGGACTTACTAAAATGGGATCAGGAAGGTTTCCGTCGTTGTTCTGCAATGCGTAGGGCGCGGCTGCCATACCGGCTCGGGTGCCCAGACGATGCTTGTCCTGCAGGGCTTGTCGTAGCTTGAAGGCTTGTCTTCTTGCTGTTCCCAGGACCATCGTTGCAGGGCCAGCCCAAAGTCCGGCCCCTTCGTCTGCACCGATGAGCGGTGCGGCACCTGGGTTGGTCGGGTCAAGGGTGAGCGGGATTCTGAAACTTGTTATCTTGTTGTCCTTAGGTTCGGTGCGCAGCGTGGCTTCCTCTCCGCCTTTAGCTTGGATGGTCCTGTGGCAGCACATGATGCTCTTCAATTACTGCTAAGGGCACCGACAGCACCTCCGGGGCATGGTGGTGCCATGCAGAAAGCCCAAGCCAAAGCAGTGCCACATGCACACCCGGCGCACCCTGGGACAGTGCGGTCGCGAACCGGGCACGGAGCCCCGGAAAACAGACAAAGAGCGCCTGTGTAGGCCAAAGTCTCTTAAAATCTCGTAGTAAAGAGCCGTCTGACTTCAGGCAGTCGTAGTATCAGCTACTGAGGGCTTTGGAGTCTGAGCTCGCTTAGGATGGAGACACCAGGAGATCGTTCCAGCAAGGCGCAAAAGGGGAGGAGCCCGGTGGGCACGGTGTGCAGTCTGCGCAGTGCTCAGCACTGCTGTCGGCATCAGGCTCCATCCCGGACGTCCAGTGTGGACTCTGGTGTGTCGCATTTCAGGAACGGCCAGACTTGCACCGAGCCAATTCGAGCCTTCGAGTCGCAGGACCCCCAGCCGAGACTCAGATTTCCGGGAGCCCGGAGCCAAGAAATGCTTTTAGAGTCTTTAGAGCTGTAAGAGCAGACTCGAGCAGAGCAGAGGTCACGGTTCTATTCCGGCCAGAGGCGCAACCTGGCGGCGGCATGTCGTTCACGTCTTTAGTGTGTACGGCTCGTGAGGTCGCCAAGCGTGGAGTCGTCGGCGAGCCTGCAGAAAGTTCAAACAAATTTGCACCAAAGTGGGCACCCAAAAGCCCTCGGTTTAAACTGTTTGCGCGCTCGGTTTATGTTGTCAAGTGGCCATGTGGGTCTGGCAGTGCTGAGGCCGACAGCACATGCAAGAGGTCGAGCAGACTATGCAGGCATGTGCAGCACACCCGTCGATTTTGCAGATAATCATTTCCAGACGCAGAGTCTGGATGCAGCCAGCTCACAACCGCCTCTTATGAAATCCATTCACGTGGTGCACCTGTCATCTATCATCGCGGCACAGCTGTAAGATGGCTTCGCAGGCCATGCGAGGAGCCTTGGAGAGTTCCAAGGAGCTGCTCACGAGGAGCTCGCTTGTGCGGACAGCTCAGACCTCGCACCATCTCGCAGCCTTCGGAGAGAGGCGAGCTGCGAAGGCACGGCGACGATGTGCTCAGCACAGTGAGTGCAGCAAACGAGAAGGAGCCCACAAGCTTGGAGGAGCTGACACGGAGGCTGAGGGAATTGCAACTCTCAGCAAGCGTCCTGCGCGTCGTAAACAGAGGCTCCAATCTCAGCAAGAAGCTTTGATCGCCAAGCTGACCCAACGCAGAGGGCTTACCTGTGCAAGTTCTGAATTTGTGTGGAAAGCCCGGAAAGCTTTGCATCCTTCTCCCTTCAATCGGCCCGGGACAAAACCCCAAACGCGTCTCACTTCGTTTCATAGAGGCTGGGAACAGCGCTTTGCCGCTCTCGAGCAGGTACCTCCCTTGCACTTGCCACAGCTTTGCTGAAGCATTCTCATGAACTGGTGGAGCTCTTTTGATTGTCAGGCTCTCAGCAGCGGCCTCGAGGTGGCCACGGCCGCCACGGGCTCCATGAATGACCGCCAGTAGCTCGGAACCTCGGGGGCCCTATGAATGGCTTGGCATGTGGTGTCAGACGTCCAGGGCTGACACGGTTCGTCAGTTTGGCAGAAGTCTTGGAGGGTGCCGTCGAGCGGGTGGGGACCCTCAGGCTGCATGGACCGCACCGGGCTGAAGCGAATAATATGGCGCAGGTGATCCACAGCAGCAAGGACATCGCGACGCCTGGAGCTGAAGATGATTGAAGATCGAAGTTACAATCTTGCAGCATTTGTCACGCGGCCGTCCGAAAATCAGGCTCTCGCGGAAAGTCAGCCAGATTGAGGCAGCCGTTCTTGGATGAGGGGAAGGGAAGACGAGAGCCTCGCAAGGGTGGCTGTTGGGCCTTTGCAGCCTTCAGGATGATGTCGCCTGCCTGGCACAGGAGCTGGTCCGCTACTGCGACAAAAGGGGGAGGGGCACGGTCCTTTGCTATCGAGTGTGTGTGGGGTGTGGAGGCCAGCGACCAGAAAGGTCGAAGCGAGGCCGTGACCCTTGCAGAGGCTGGGGCCCGGGAAGCCGGGCACGCTTCCGTGGCCTTTGTCCAAGGTGGATGCGGCCTGCGAGGAGCTGCGCCGTGAGCTTGGCCGGGGCCTAGAATGCCACGACACCTTCATCGCCGGCAAGTGTTGATTCCGCAGTCATCGGGTCGGCACAGCTACAGCTACCAGCAGTTTTCGCAGCCCACAAGAAGATTCCCTCATAACCTCACATTGCCTCGCATCCTCCTCGCATCCTCTCGCTCATGAGCTCGCGCTCGCTCCATGCAGCTGCCCGGGCACTCAGCCTGGGACGTCGGGTCGGATGTTGTTCGGTGTGCAGCTTTGTGGAGGTCGGAGCCTGGCATGGGAGAACTTACAGAATACTTTCGCGAAGCAGGAGCTTTTGTTCTGCTATTGCAAAGCAGTGAGGCAAAGGCCCGGGAACTCAGGAGAAGCTTCGCCAGTGCACAACAGCTGGTCGGAGCCTCGCTAGTGTTCTTTTCCAATCTTCTTAAAGCGACTCTCCGTTTTGGAGGCTCGGCACTTGGGCTCCCCACCAGAGCTCCTCGGCGCTTTGGAGCAGCTGCCGGAAGTAGCTCGGCTTCCCGTGTCGAAACCAGGCGGAGGTTACGCAACTCTTTCCTCCCCAGGGTTTCCCTTGCTCTTCGTCTCTGACTCCGTTCCCTCTATGGTGGTCTCTCTTGTCTCAGGCCCCAACTGTTAATGTGGTGGCATCTGGCATCAGGGAGTTGTATGGGTTGTGCCATGGTTTAGATCGGTCCTGGCAGTATCCTGTCTTGCTCTGAGTTGCCGCAGCCATAGGTGTGCGTGGATTGTGTCGAGCCCTGCCCGCTGTCGTGACAGTCCACGGTGCCCAGCCAGTGTCTCGGTCCCGGCTCTCTTTTTCTGCTCTGTCTGCACCGGCCCTGCACTTGCGCTCGCAGCCGCTGAGCTTGAGCCCACGCAGGCCTCAGCACGTACGTACCGCCGTGTCCACACGCGCTCCGGTTCGTTGTCTGGGCCAGGACAATTCAATTCCCCAAACAGCGTGGCGACACTATGGGATCTCTGCACTGAGAGCACAGAGGGTGATCCATGCCGTATAGTCTATAGTGGTGTGCAATTATTTGCTTGTAGCGTAAGTTCCAGGACTTTCGTGTTGTCCAACTTGATCAAGGAGGCTTGCAACCGCCACAGTCCCGTGCGGATTGGAAATCGTGTTCCCGCCACGACAAAAAGCGCAGGGATAGTGATAGACGGAACCTTCTGGGGACCTGACGGTGGCTTGACAGAGGTTTATTTGCAGCATTTTGCAGCTGGATCCTTGGACTGTCGGCGGCAAGGAACGCAGCGCGATATCAGAAACACTTACATGGAATTCTGTGCAGGGACAGTTTGAGCCCAGAGCGTTCAAACTGATGCCCTGGAGAAGCCGCGCTTTGATCTGTGCTCGGATAGCTGCGGGCCACGACATAAACGACGCTGCATGAGTTCGATTTTTGACGAATTTGCGAAACGAGATGTGGCATGTGCAGATGGGCGCGGCCATGCACGGGTTTCGTCGTTGGTTCGCTGACAGGCAAACAGAACACAGACAAAGAGACGCGCGCACACACACACACAGTTGACAAACAGACTTCCTTACCGAGGTGAGTGATCTCACACTCACGCGCCGAGTGTCAGAACTTCAGCAGACAACAGTTTTCGACAGGCTGTTGCTGCCGCTGCACGTCGCATGAAGAACGCACCACGTCACATCGCTGTCGTTCGAGGACAAGGGTCCTGGCCCTTGCTTGCAGGCTCAATGTCTGTTTGTTCGTTGGCCTGTCTCTTCATCATTCCGCATGTCTCTCCGTGTTTCTCTCGCATGATTTGTGGAATTTTGGATCTGAGGCATCTCGAAGCAGTTTCGGTTCGGACGGCGGTCTGAAGCAAGCCCTGGGCGAATTGGCACGCCGATTGCCACGGGATGCCGGTGAACAGGCCCTTTCGACCCAGTCGTCACTTGCACTCACAGAAACTCTGTGGGGAGTGGCCGTGGCCTTTCCCAGGTGCCATGGGAGCCTGCTTGGACACCACGCTTGGCAGCAGTGCTCAACCAGCTGGGTGCACAAGGCGCGCTTTAGGCGGAAAGGGAGAGAGCGCTGAGCGCTCCTTGTTGCAAGTCGCAAGCGGCGGCTAGCGCCTCAGGGGCCAACTTGCGCTTGACCAACGGCCTGAGCAATGCGCTACTCCAGGCTGCAGGAAATGACCATGAATCACTGAAGACAGAAGAGACTACCGTGAGAGCTGTCAATCTATGTGAGGCCACCGCAGATGTGCCCACTCTGTTGGACAGGCCGTGGTGAAGTGCGCGTCAGTCTGCAAGTCCCGGCAGTTACGTGCAGGTGCCAAGGCTTCGCAAATAACTACGTCGTCGCCGTTTTGCTTGAGGAGCTAGAGGCGGCGGCAGCAAGCGAGCGGTGGTGCATCCGGGCATGCTGTATGCTGTTACATGCAGTCTTCGGAGGAGCGGTGCTCTGCTGGCGCGAGTGGTGGAACTCCGGAGAAGTGCGCTGTGCCCCTCTCGGAGTTGCTGCCGCTTTTGCAAGGACTTGCCATGGCCCGTTTAAGCGGCGGCTTGGCCGGAGCCGCCGGAGCGGAGCCAGGGCCTGGCGGGCCTGGCCTCATGGCATCCTTGGGCCCCGGAACGCTCGCCTGCCTGCATGCGGGGCTTGCGAACTCCGGCGTCGCATCCCTCTCCACGCCACAGCTTCTGCAGCTGATCCAAAGCTCGGTGCCGAACTTACCACGAGAGAAGAAGAAGAAGGAGGGAGAGCGAGAGACAGAGAGACAGAGACAGTGCAGTGCTTGCGGTGTCTTGACTTGCGGTGCTTGCAGGTCTCTGGACAGGACGGGCCGCTTGCCGAGCTGATCGCAGACTTGCCATCGCGAGTTCAGAGGATGTCTCTTCCTGAGCTGGCGGCGGCGGCGCCGGCGTTGAGTACAGGAGATGCCGCCTGGGCGCGGCTGGAGGAGCTGACACGAGTGGACTTAGACTCGGAGAGCTTTGAACTCGCGTTGGCAGTGGCCTGCGTGCTAAAATTCCCTCCTTTCGAAAAGCACCGTGAAATCCTTGAGCAACTGGAATCTGCAGCGGCCTCCGCATCCCCAAGCTTACAAGCACGACTCTTGCTCCTGGCGCTTCGGGAAGCCAGCACGTCGGATACGGAGCAGGAAGAGAAGGACACTAGCGGCACTAGCGTTGTGAATCGGATACTGACAGATGTGGGTGGGCGGTTAGCTGCAGCAGATCTCGGTGGCATCCCCTGGGCGCATGCAGCAGAGTTGCTTCAGGCACTGGCCAGAAGTTCAGCACAGGCACCACCGGGGTTGGTGGGTGGTTTGGTGGAGGTTGTCTTTGCAGGGGACATGTTTGATCGGAAGCTCGATGAGCTGGCAACTGTATTCTTCGCCTTGGCAGAGCTGGGGGCGGATCTCGATAACCTCGCAACGCGTTGTGACCTGGCGGCGAAGCTTGCTTCCGGGGAGAAACTGGAGGCCGAGGCGTTGATCCGCCTTTTCTGGGCGATGGCCATTGGCAAAGTACAGGACCCTGTGGCCTGGCAGCTTTGCGCCGCACGCGTCACCGACTCCGTTACTGCCTCTGATTTGCCGGAGCTGTTGGCCCTGCTGCGCTCTGAGGCAAGCGCCCTCCATTGGGGCAATTGGTGAATTTGGTGACTGGTGTTCATGTCAGAGTCTTGCGCAAGCCCTTCCGCCCTTTATCAATCGCCTCGTCACTCAAGGTCCCAAAGACCCTAGCACCTGGCGTCTTGTCAACATGCCTGCGCAAGGCTTTAACAGCAATACGTCGAGCATCAAGATCTCGTCGGCGAAAAGTAGTGGGAGGACGCGTTTCTGGTACCACCCTGGACCGCAGATGAGCTTCACCGTGCCACACACACCACGTCAAATGTCCTACAAGTTCAAACTGTCGGTGCGCGCAGTTGAATTGACAAGGGCTGTTCCCAGCTGTGCACAACAAGTAACAAGATGAGTTTGCGTTCGAGTATCGCCGTCTCGCCCTGGATCCTTTTGGCCATATTTGATGTGTCAAAGACTGTTGGCAACCGAGCTAGTTCACCACCCAACAACATGTAGCGTTGTGCAGAAGAAGCGGAAGTCGGAGTGGATCATGAAGGGTGGGACTGAATCTAGTGAATCTGAGTGTTCCCGGCTTGTGGCACAAGATCGTCCAAGATAAGGTCGCGGGACGGCGCAAGTACAGGCGTACTATAGTATGATTGAAAACCAACAGGGGCCGTCCTCGGCTTTTTGGAAGCGTTCGGTGCCACGTGAAAATCGGAGGCTGAGGAGGCGCGGCGCCAGCAGCTGCAGGAGCTGGAGGCAGAGAATCAGCCCAAGGCTCGCATTCCGTTATACCACCGGGGCAAGTGTCTCAGGGGCTTCTAAACAATGCTGAGGTCCTTGAGGTTCCTCGCCATGCATGGAATGCGGTGTTCGGACTGTCTAAGCAACTGCTCTTGTGCCGCGGTGTGTAAATACACCCTTGATATACATCTCCTTTGACGCGGGGTCTGGTTCGTCTACGCGTGAGAGGCATTTTCTCGCAGGCAAATTTGACACTGTACAACCGTTAGCTTAGTTCTCCTCCCTGGGGAGAAACTTGCAACTTGCAGCTCTTGCAGCTCTTGCAGCTCTTGCAGGCTGCAGGCCAGGCCAGGGCGGCACTGGTGACAAGGCCTGCAGCAGGCTGGCGCCACAAAGAGGCCTGCGGCCACCAGTCTGCAGTTCTTCTTGGCCACGGGAGCACGGCTTTTGCTGCCAGGGGCAGCCGCTCACCGAGCTGAAAGTAGGCATTGCAAGAGATGGGTTTGTGTGGCACGTCCATGTTGCTTTCCCGGATGCCCTGGTGAACAGGCCGCATCGTGAGTGGCAAGGCCCCGGTGCATCGCCTTCATTGCCATAGGAGTTCGGGAGTGCGTAATGTGGTGCAGGTCACCAACTGCTACCGGGACATGGTCTTTGTGGATATCAGGGCAGATTCTTGGGCCTGATAAATGCGATTGCTTCCATAACTCAGAATTAAGTGTGCACCTTGTTTGCATCTGGCACCCCTTGTAGGAGCAAGATGGCTGCTTCCGTGCGCCTAAAGGGCAGTTCCGTGTCGGTGAGACACTGCGGAACCTGGCCATCCGTGCTGTCGACCTGGAGAAGGCCTAAGAAAGAGCGGAGGAAATTTCGGAGGCAAGCTTGTGCCTCGGGCATTTTCTCAGGGCTACGTGCACCTTTCCGCACCCAAGCCGAAGCCGGCCAAGCCCTCGGCACCGAAGGCTCGGAAAGGCTCGGAAGGTTCTCATCGCCGAGCTTTGCTCGTCAGGGCAAAGACGGCAAAGCAGCCGCGGGTCAGGCTGGTGAATTTTCATCGCAACCGCAGGCATCTTCAAGAGCTCTGCGTGCGACTAGTCGAAGCTCCGCATGGAGAAAACGTCACGACGTCGCAACGAACTACCCAACACTAGCGTGGCGAGTCTGAATCGGACTCGCGTCCCCAAGACTACTCCTCGTTGCTACTCCCCGCAACGCAGTGGACCCAAACGGCAATTCACGCCAGGTCTGGACAGCATTGTCCACCAAGCCCACATCAGGCTGGCAACATAAAGAGGTCCGCCGTGAGGGATTCGTAGAAGTGCGGAGCGGCAGAAGCTTGGCAATGCAAGTTTACGCTGTGCAATTTGCCTCAATCCGTGCAGGGGCAGCCGCTCGCAGAATTGGAAGTAGGCCATCTGCCCCGTCAGTTGGTCAGTGATTGCTGCTGCACAGAGATGCTGCCTAAGCTTTTGCCAGGTCGCATCGTAAGCGGAAAGGCTCCGACGCTTCGTCAGATCCGTCGTTTCGAAAGCCAGTGACAACACTGACAAACCGTGATCAGGTGACAAACTGTTTCCTGAACCGGGTCTGGGTGGACATTGGAGCCGCTACTCGGATCTGATCTGGAAGATTCTTAGGAATTTCAGATCTCTGCCCTCACTCCTCTTTGTGCCGAGGAGCGGGATGGCTGCTTCCGCACAGGTGAGCGGCGCTTCCAAGTTGGAGAGGTGCTGCAGAACCTGACCATTCGAGCCGTCGACCTGGACAAGGCGCTTCGGCTTCGCTCTTTGTTGCGATTTTTGTCTTTGAGAAAGGGAACCATCCTTGCGTTCTTGCACTTGCACTTGCAAGGGCTTCGTGCACATCTCCCCACCGAGCTGAGCTGCCAAAAAGAGTTGCCTAGAGTCGCCTTCCCCTTGCACCGTGACATGTGTTCGATGACCGGGAGATGCAACGCGACTGTGCGTGCAAGGTCGTAGGCCGGTGCTGAACGTCGAGGGTGAAGGCAACTTTCCTTTCACTTCAAGTATCAGTTCTATTGGTTTTGAGCTCTTCTGATCTCACTTGTTTCCCATCCTTTTGTGCTCAAGTGCACTGACATTTGCGCTGCTTTGTCTTTCTCTACTGTCTCTCTTCCCTTTTGTAGCTGTTCATCTTTGTCTTCGAGGCTCTGGCTCCAACGGCTCTGTGAGCTCTGGGACTTCTCTGAGCTCACTGTCCGCCGCCCTGGGCCTGCGACCCAGCCCCGCATGGACTCCCACGAAGCTCTTTCAAGAACTGCTTTTACTTGGCGATCACCTTCTCCGTTAGACTCTCTCTCTCTCCGCTCCGCTCCGCTCCGCTCCGCTCCTCCGCTTCTATCTGAGGCGATCTCTGCTCCGCTCTTCGCTCCGTTCTCTTTTGAGGCGAGGAACGCACGGAGCGGCTCCGGCTCAGCGCCGAGCAGCGACGCCCAAAGCCCAGCCGCAGAGCCTTCGCTCTCCGCTGTTGCAGCCTCGCACTCCGCCTGGCTCCGCCTTTCCGCCTCTCTCGTCTGCAGGCGTGGCAAAGCAGGCCGAGCAGCTGGAAAGCCGCCGCCTCTCCGCTGTTTGCCCGTAACGGCGGCAGATGCGGCAGCTCAGGTCGCTTGCAGACGGCCACCGAGCAGCTGGCGCAGGTCGCCCGCGCACAGCAGGAGGCCAGGCGCGCCGCCGCATCGTGCCGCAGCGCAGAATGCACGTACTAGCGGCTAGCGGTAGAGCGTCGTACATAGGGTTTGCTTCAGGCCGGCACGTCCTCTCCAGGCAGGGCCCAGCAGAGCTTGGAATCAGCGCATCTGAAGTAATTATAAGTGGTATTCGAATTTTGCGGGGGCCCACAGACTCAGGAGCTGGGACATCGGGGCGGTGCCGCCCTTGGCCAATTTTTGCACGTTGTTGATCGTTTTCAGCTCCGCCTTAGCTGAAAGCTTTCCGTGCCATGGCAATCCGTGGCGATCGTGATCGTGGGACATGTTTCAAGGGGCCATTTTTCTGCATTATGCCGTATCACTTCCTATCGAATCGTCTTGAGCTGGTGCTGTGACCGTGTAACACCCTAAAACACTTTGCGATTGGTGCAACTCGACAGATGAGTGCTCGATACGTGGACCTCGGTTGTAGCTCCACGAGTCGTCCCTAACCCCACCAACTATCGGAGAAGGGCACAAGAAGGATGTGGGCTTCGCCTCCGGCAACTGCGGAGAGTAGCGCAAGATGGCGGAAAACTGGAATTTCCGATTCCACTCTAGCAAAAGCTGGAAATTCTAGGACAAGCTGTTTTCTGCATTAGGGTGGTCTAGCCACCTTGCTTAGCTCAACCTGCCTGATGTTATTCGTGGTTGAGGAGCTTGCAATCAAGGCTTCACTGGGTGCCTCGGGGGTGGGGGTGCACTGGCTGCGACCTGACTTGACCCAAATTTGCAAGTGGGTGCTACTTCATCGGTTCACTCGAGCCAGTGTGTCGCTGGGCTGAGGTCTTGTCACACGAGTGTGCAATCACCGGCAAGTGCCGACTGATTTTCGTGCATATTTCGACCGAATAGGTTCGCGCTAGTCGGCCGAATTCGCCTGCCATCCGTGCACACAGCGAGGCTGGCGTTGCTGGCCGGGAGGTCTCGGCGGGTCTCTGGCTCCGGGTCTCGATCGCCGGCTTCCCAGATTCAGTTCGTGGGACCTCTTTGTGCTTGTGGTGTTGATCGCTTCGGGTTCTTCTGGGTTGGTGCGGAGGCTTGGCTCACGGTTGATCGGACCTATCGAGGAGGCTGGGGAACCACCTGTCGTGCCCAGAAAGATGCACAAGAAGTGGCCTTGAGGAAGAGGAGGATGAGGAGGGGAACAAAGCAAAAGCGAAGGGAACCGCAGCCCAGCTGGCACAGCGCCGCTCACTGAAGGGCCTTCTTCTCGGAGCTTCATCAGGATGCCGAGAAGCCTCGTCAGCGTAGTGATCGCCAAGTTGCTGAGGTTGGGAGACTTCCGAGGCACCCGCAGCTCCCGAACAAAGCGACGGAGGTCCAGTGGCCCAGCACTGGTTCACTATTCGGGCTCTCTGCCGGGACTCTGCCGCTCCGCTCCTGTCCAGGCATCTTCTCGCGGATCCTTGGAAGGTCGGACACGGACTTGACTGCGCCGTCTGCCCTGTGCAGAGAGTTTCCGCCCCTCCTTGCGGCAGGTAGCTGAGCGGTGGTTGGTTGCTGCTCCGCCGCTCCGGCCCGGAAGGCTCCGCCATCCGCCATCGATTTCTCCAGGTGAGAAAAGTTGCAGCTCCCCTTTGCTTTGCAGTCCTGCATCTGCACTGTCGCGTGATAGCAATGCGGCTGATGTTAAAGCTGGAAGGATTTTATATACTATTGTCGTCCTGACGATCATGTGGTTATGACCACATGTACTCCCGAACTCATTACTGCCCAACTCAAAGCCTTCATCCCGCCCGAAAACTTGATCTTGAAGACGGATGGCTCCAACCCAACTGCTTTGTGTCCAGCTTGATAGTGCCGCCGTACGAAGCGACACCACGGACTTGGGGCAGGCAGCGGACTAAAGTTCTTGTGGCCAGCGGCTGACCCAGCTTCGCTTCCTCGTGGTCCCGACTCCTCGGCTTCAAAAAGCGTCCCAATACTGGGGGGGCATGAAGCCCCGTGGAAGCTTCACACGGCTTCAAACACCCTCCCAGTAACTCAATATGGGGGATTCACGTGCGAACAGCTACATGACCACAACACGGAGCAGTGTATCCAAAAGCCCAAGCTTAAGCAACTTGCTTCTGGCCCAAAGCCCCGTCTTGATCCCCAGTTTATCCAGAACTCGAAACCGATATTTCGGGGCGGCCGGAGCCCTCCAAATTCTCACCCCGAAGTTTTCCCACCATGTTGTATCCCAGACGCAAACTAATCCGGCCCAGGAGCTTGTCTTTTGCCCGAGCCACACGCTCAGTTTGTTAATCGAGCGAGCATAGTGAGTGTAAAACACAGCATGCGGGCTCAAGACAGGTTGGTTTTTTGCACCACGTGGCCCGTGGCTAACTTGAAATCCTAGTCCGGCCAGAGAGTTCGGCTCGAGCCCAGCTCGAAACCCCATCCGGCCCAAGACTTGAAGAAACAAGGAATTTGGATGGCTTCAACCCGACTGCTTCGTGTAGTGCCGCCGTACATAGCGAAACCACCGACTTGGGGCAGGCAGCAGACTTAAGTTCTTGTGGTTGCATCACGAAGCCAGTGATTGACCCAGCGCGCTTCCTCAAGGTCACCTTTTCAGAACAACTAGAATTGTAACAATATCCCGAGCTGAGCCAGCTTTTGTCCTCCGTCGTCGTAGGGGTATGTTTAACCGTGTAACTACATCTTTTGCAAGTAGACGGACGCAGACCGCATGTTTTTCATCCCATATGACGTGATCAATGCGGTGGTCTGTTTAGAAAGCAACAGCCCAACCAATGGTGATGGGCTCGGCCATGGCCCCCAAGCAGGAGGAAGACATGCAAGGCTGGGGGGGATTCTCCAGTGTTGGGATTTGTGGGGTTCAGTATACTTAGGTAGGTAGTTCTGATCAGATTACCCCCCCAGTCCAGGCATACTGTTCTGACGTGTTTCTAGGATGGGATTGCTTTTATATAAATTAGCTTGGACAGAAGCGCCAGAATCCTACATCCAACAGCCGCAGCCTTGACTCATCCATTCACTTGACTCCCGCCCCAACGAGCAGGCTGTGCAACACTGTCAGTGCCACGTATGCTCGGAGCCCAGACCACTCGTATGGCATGACCATGTTGTACCTCAAATTATTTGTTCATTCGTTAGGCAATGCATGCAGGTTCAGTTTTTTGAGGCATCGCGGCTGCTGGCTCCCAGCCAGCTGGGATTGCATGAAGTGCTTCTAGATTCTAGTTGTGCAGCTTACCGAGGCACATCAGCTTTCGGGGCTGCCTTTGTCCGTCAGGCGGGTGGATCGATATTGGCAGCTGTGCATCTGAGCGAGTAGGAGGCTGCGAGGCCTTTGTTCCCATGCCCAGCAGGAGAAGAAGAAAGTGCCAGTAGGTGTATCAAAAAGTCGGACACTGTAGCGCTTGTGGCGAGGCGGTTTGCGCTCTTGTCCTTTTTGCGTCTCCGTGTCAGATGCGTCGATTCGACACTTTGGATGCCCGGGTACAACCCATACTATACAGGGGATTTGCGCGGGCAGCGCGTCAATAGACGATTGCCAGGCGATGCGCTACATGGATGCATGATTCAACGCTTTTCTGCTTTGAGATATGCCACGGCGGGCATGTAAAGATTAAGAGGTTATCAAAGCAAACGAAAACAGACAGGCAGCTGCGGCAGCTTTGAGAGATGGGGAGATGGTGGAGTTAAATCTGTGAAAAAGGACGGCTTGGGTGGCAACAGAGACAGACCTCAATGAAGAAGCCCCGCACGCCACATCCTGGCCTAGCACCCACCGAACATACGCAGATAATCGACCATGGCCGTGGTCAATCAAAATGAACGGTCTTGGAAGAAGGACCTGAGACACTTCTGATTCATCCTTCTTGTATTTCTCGTGCAGCAGTGCAGCACATGACCTTTTGCGTGCATTGGCCCACCGGGAGGCGTGCACCAGAAATTGAAGGCCTGTTCTGCAAGACCATGGCACGCTGTAGTTGTGAGGCTTGAGGCACCGGTAAACTTCCATGTCGCTTTGTAGCCACAGTTTTGCAAGGCGGCTCCCCATTCCCTTGATCAGAAGTCCGTTTTTGCCTGCCTTGAACGATTGCACTCTACTTTTCTTGTAGGGTGCCTGTGAATTCTCTGCATCAGGTTCCCTACTCAGACCCTGCAAGGAAAGTTTGTTGGCTGTTGTTGGCAGTTTAAGATAAGTCTTCAACCGGGCATGCCAATAATGTGGAAACACAAGAACAGGGAGTGAAGTCTTTCTCGAACTCCTCATGTCTGCTAGGAGCTCAGGAGATCCGGCAAAGATTGCGTGGCCTGCTAACTGTTGTATGCAAAACGAGAAAACAAGGCTGGAATGCAAAATGAACCGCAAAACCTAAACTCCTAAACTCTGCTGGAGTCAACAACACAGCGTAACCAAAGCAGCTGATTTAAATTTGACGGCACCACCCCTGGACATTCTGTTTCAGTACCTGACGAGAGAGGCTTGCAGAAATTGAAGTACCTAAACCCTAGGAACCCTAAACCCTTTGAGCCCTAAACAGTGAATACGAGAGAGGCTTACAGAGTTTGAAGTACCTAAACCCTAGACTCTTTGATCCCGAAAACCTGAATACGTACTATGGGAACAGACCCTGGGCCACACTATCCAAAACAGATTATTCCTGCATCACTTATGGAAAAACAGCGGCCCGACCAGCTGCCTTAAAGCTAGTCTCAAGCAGACAGACGATGTTCCTGGCAGCTTGAACGACAAGCTGCTCGCAAGCCCATTGGTCTCATTCGGCACATCCCATCAGCTGTAGCTGGGTTCAAGGATTTGCTAAACAGTTCTTCCAGATTCAGACTGGGCTTCTACGTGCAAAGACATGTGCAGGGGAAGTGAGGGCCTGTCCAGGCCATGATGACTGAAACAGTGATACACTGTGATACAGCCTGCATATCTTACAAGGAAAAGCAAAACCCTGGAAAATGACTCGACTTTGAAGGTCAACGGCACAGGAGAGTTCAGGTGCGAAATGCGAACGAAAAGGGAATGGGTGGTGGATGCCCTGAGCTCATCATTCAAGTTGGCGTCCGTCTTGCGGTCTGCTCGGTTTTCAGTTGCAAAACGACGGGTTCGACAGTCTGCACATGTGCAATGTTACTATGCCCAAGCTCGAGCCTCTGCATCCAGACACTACCGTCGACATCTGCTATCCGTAAACCTAATCCCCAAACTTGCAGGCTTGACCTAGCCTGGCGGGTGGGAAACACCCTAACACGGCATCGTTCACAGTTGCATGCCGCGCCAAAACGTAGAGCTCTCACCATCGGCACAATATGTTCGCGAGCCCTGTCGTCTCATGGCAACTCCACTAATGTTAGAGCTGGTAAGATACCTAAATCGATCCAGCGATTATGTGACATTATGTGCGTATGACAACACTTGATCCATCTTAATCCATAACTCGTTGCTGGCCCAGGGCTGTGTTCGACTGTTTGATGACTTTTCATCGAATCCACGGGCACGAACTGTCTGCATTGCTTGGTTGAGTTTGCTTCCTTGTTGGCTTACTTGAGGGTGAGTGTCAGATCTCCGGATTATAGTGTTTTCGCGGAGTCATGGCATCTTTGCGCGAAGCTGTGGCCGCAGCGGGTTGCCTCTTGTGCCTGGCTGCCAGCCCGGCCAGCAACTGCAGCACTGGCACTGCCGGATCGATGCTGCTTCAAGGTCGGATACACCGCTCAATCTCTTGGGCAAATGACTCGGCTCGGATGCCGCCGAATGAGAACTGCTGCGGGAGTGATGCCGTGTGCAATCAGTTGCATGACCTGCCGTTTGACTACGAACAAGTTGGAAGTTTTACACGCATGAAGTGCCCCAATCGTGGAAGCGATTGTGCATTCGACCATTGTGTCGGTGGTACTGGAGTGGACTGCGCTGGCGTGCCTTACGATCTCGACTTTGGTGCCATCGGCACGCTGTCAGTCAACCTTGTGGCGCCAATAGACCATGGCGATGGAACCGTCACGCTGAAGACAAGTGTTCCTTGGGTCGCCCTCACTTCATTTTCTATTTGGCAGGTTGGGCAACTTGTTGAGCTTGCAATGGCGTTTTCTTTGCAATGTTGCGCGTGTTGCTCGGATCGTCTTAGGTAGGATCCATCCTCCACGATCTCTGCTGCATGCAGCATCAGTCTGGTGCTTTTTGCCACAGCAGCAACTACCCCATCGGAGCGACCATCAATGCGCTTGGCAACACGAACAATGCTTGCGCATGTCTCATGGAGTGGCGCAAAGCTGCTTGGAATGTGCTACGAGGCAGGGGGTTTACCTTGCGAGTTCAGTTTGGGCACATTGCTGCTACTGTTGGCACGCCAGTCGGACAGGTCGTTACTGGTTGGCAACATTTACGAAGGCTGCACAAAGCCAAGCCTCTTGCTCATCTTTTCGCTTCAGCCTTCCTTCGTTCTTTCCCACGTTTCAAGTCGTAGTGCCACGGTGAGGATATGACCCTTGTCCCGTCTTTGCAGCGCAAGTCTGGCACCCTAGCAACGTACCTGCAGTGCCCAGCGCAGTTTCCGGTGTCCTCGATGGGATAAGAGGGCCTTTCACAAGCAGGTTTAGCAATCATGCCGAGGTCTTACCTGCCCAAGGGCTCTGGCACGAACTACGAGAGCTACAAGAGCACATGGGGCTTGACTGAAAGGACATGGCTCAGACACATAAACCGTGCATTCACAAGCATGTGTAATGTGGAAACGTGTGTACTCATGTGTATGTATACTGAGACTGTGCTGGTATTTATATACACTCATGGCCCTCATGGCTCTTTGGGTGAGTAGCATGGTGTTAAAACCAAGCACACCAAGAAGCATAAAATGCAAAAGCCCAGGCCTCAGGACAACCCGTTCTCTTTTGAATCTTCTAAATTCGGTATGTCGAAAAGTTGGATTGGAGCATGTCATTACCGAGTTCGCGCTTATTCCTGACATGTTCGCGTCAGGTGCCTGAGAATTTCACCCATTCATTACCATCAAACATCACTACCCAGTTTTCCCCCGACCTGCGCAGAAGGCACAATGCACGAGAACGCCAGAAAATGGAGCACAGTAGGCCAGGGTTAAAAAGCAGCGAGGTCCATGTTCCAAGTAGGCTGAGAAAGGACAGCTGTGGGCACAGGGGCAGCTAGCACAAAAGCTCGCTTGTGCAGGAAAGCCACTTCTGTCCTGTGCGCACCAGAGGGCACGAGACTGGATTGTCCTTCCGAGGACGACAACTGCAAGGCGCAGGGATTTAATTATCTAGCCACCACTGGGTCACCACTCTGGTGAAAATCCAGGGAGGTTGGTGTTGCGGTCCACAGCTCTTTGAGCAGCCGTGAAGAAGATAGCATTCTTCCCCAAGAGGCAGGGTAAGACTGGAGTTCTTGTGTTAAGTCACAGTCTGTTAAGGGTACAGTCAGTTGAGTGAGATTTAAGCGCGTGCGCGAAAAAGTTGATCCCCGCATCCTAGTCTGTACAGCAAATGCTCTAGAATCAGGTCGGCACATCTGAATTTAGGCCCGGAGAGGCCTGGAAAAGGCCCGAAGAGGCCCGGGTCGTCCTGGTCGCGGTGCTTGTCGTGGGTAATTAGTCTTCTGGTGATCTCGGTGTTCTCTGCATGCTATCCTGGTGGTATTCTGGTCGTGGAGGTCATCGTCGTCGTCGGGATGGTGTGGTCTCCCCCGAAGGCTGCTAGAGCCCTGAACCCTCCAAACTCCTGTTTTCGAGATGTAGTGTGCGGAGCGGGCTCCGGGAACTCTGCCGATTTCAACTGGTGTTGCGACCTGAAGTTTTCCCAAGTGCGAACCATCGGCCCGGCAGTCGTGACGCCCTGGTCTTAATGGGTTGCTTCAGCTATGGTCTTTGACTGCCTCTGCTGGCACAATAGGTTTGGTGCTACAGCGCTACACCTACAATTTAATTCACTTAGAAAACATCTTTAGAAGTGTGCTGTCTCACTTTACTGTGCACGTGTCTTTATTCACACTCTTTTCTGAAGGTGCCTTGTGTCGGAACCTACTGCAAGGCCAGGACTTTTGCTCTGCCTCTGGATTGGTTTTGCGAGCACAGCAACAGATTCGACATGAATGGGCTATTTGGCCGACAAGGTAGTTGCAAACTTCCTGCGTGCGTCGGAAATGTAAGCCAACCTGCCCGCAGGCTTGTGCCGTTGGATGCGCGTCTCGGCATCGAAAGCGATGGATGAAGAACGGTCGCGATCATCCTAATGCTGGTGACTCTGATTATTGCTGCAGCGGACAGTTCAAGGAGGCCGGACTGAGTCGAGGGGAAAGTGGGCAGTCGGTCCCCAAAACATGGCATCTGACAGGTTTACTGGTCACTTGCCAACACCCGCTATGGCACCTGCGCTTAAGACCGTGAGACTTGGGGTGTACATGCAGATCTGGTCAGGAGTCGTTTGTCACAAGTGCAAAGTAAGTGGTCTCTCCACCGATTCCGAAGTTGACCTCTTTCTTCATTTCTGGTCACTGTCATCGACGCCTTTGCGGTAGTATCTCGGACCTGGCATCAGTGGCACAGTGACGCTGGTGCTTGATCCTGAGCTGAGAGCTTTGTCGAGTCATGGAGCAATGTTTGCACCACTCATTACTGTACAATTACGCAAGCGTCATGTCCTCTCACATGTTTCCCACATCAGTCTGTCAAAGCTCTCCAGTTTGCCAGTGACGCATGCCGGAAGTCAACACATGATCATTGCTGGCATTTTGCTGCACCATCTACTTGTCCATATATATATATATATATCCGTCAAGCAGTACACACTTGGACTGTATTGAGCGACAAGCACATGCGCGTACGCGCTGAGACTATGCCAAGTCTCGAGACAGCATTGGTGCTCCTTGCTCAACAGCGTGGTTGTGTGCAAGCTTGTCGGGCCAAGAGGCCTCGTCCGGATGTTGGCGGCTCCAGGAACAGTTTGTAGGAGTTTGAACTGTTTTCCGGGCCACACTCAGTTCATCCAACTGTCAGTATTTAGTTCGTCACGCCAAGCACGTCGGACGTAACTTTCATTTGCAGACACGAGTTTGTTGGCCCACAAAACGCACTGTAGCTCACAGAGAGGTGTTTTGTAGGACAGTGCTTCCAGTGCGGCTGCTTGGTGCTGAGCTGGCAAGCAGAGGGCCCCCACAGTCGGACGGTACAAGAGCCGTGGTGTTGAGGCAGGAAGGAAATGGCACGTCTCGCAGCAAGCTCAGTAATTTGGAAGCCTGTCAACTAATTTCCCACTCGAGTACTGGAGGTGCGAGAGCGTTTGCTGAGCTTCTTCGATGGACAGGGCCTGAAAAAAAGTTCCTGACGCAACCCGAGCGAGGAAAGAAATCGGTGGTTGCTTGAGGCGCGGAAAATGCGGCGGAGAATCCCGACCCGCTGCTGGACGTTGCGACCTACTGTAGCTCTTGATTCTTGATGTTAGTGGCAATTTGCCTGTAGTAGACTGGATTGTCGGACTGTAGGTGGTGCACCAGTACCCAGAAGAGGCCGCATGGTTCATCAAGGTGCGGAGTGCGGAGACACCAGATGCAGCCCAGTAAGATCCAGCGCATCCTTGGCTTTGTGAGGTAGTGATGTTTTTCGGCAGCATCTCGGGCGTCGTCATCTCCATCCCCTGTGGACTTTTCTTGACCATGTGAGCCGCGAAGAGGATCAGAGCGAGAAGGTGATAGGTCCAAGGATGGGTCTTAAGTCTACTGCAGTCGCAACGCTGTGAGGTACTGGGGGCCGTGCGGCCTCTGCAACCGACCCCTGAGGCATCGAGCCCGCGGTCCTCCCTCTTGAGAGGGCATCGGGCTTGCCTGACTGTATACAGACTGTACAGATGCTCGGGCAGGTACTGGATTCTGGTCCACTGTGTGCTGCAGCTGCTCCAGGCACGTCTGAGTCTTGCTTTCCTGCCTTTGCATCCGGCTGCTCGTTGTGTTCTTTACCTTCAGCTTGAGGCACCGGTTCGGCTCGTCTTCTTCCTCCGCCTTTGCCACATCCAGCGCCTGAATGGCAACATCCAGGAGCTGTGTGCCGCGTGCCTGTTGTGCCTGCAGAGGAGAGGGCGGTGTTTCTACTCGCATCGCGAGGAGTGCGTGCGGCACCTGACGCACAGTGCAGCCTGGAGGACTAGTAAGGCCGGTCGATTCAACGGCCGCAGGTGCTCAGGCAGAAGACTGTGTGGTGGTGGGGGCGCAGGTTGTGTCCATTGTCACCTATGGCTGGTTCATTCTGGGCGTGGCTCTTGCCTGAGCAGCCTGAGACGGTGCCGGCGGCGCTCCGCTCCGCTGCGGTGCGCTTTGAGTGAGGTCTGGCTGCTGAACTCCACGTACTGCAAGCCGTGCCCTGGCCTCTACCGGTCGGCATCCAAGCTTACGCAACGACGCGACATCTGCGACTGGACCCGGGGCCCAGAGAGAGAGAGAGAGAGAGCCAGCAAGCAAGAGCAAGAGCGAATCTCAGTGGGTTGCTGTTTGCGGTAGCCGGTAGCCCGGTAGCGTGTCGGGCCTTTTTGGTGTCACTCCGAGCCTGCTCCCTGCCGGGTCACTTCACTAACTTGAAACTGAACAGCGCGGCTCATGCTCTGATGCAGGCGTCTTCAGCAGTCGGCCAGCTTCGAGGTTTTGTATGGTTTAGGGCAACATTGCGCGCACCGGAAGGGTTGGCCTTCGGGCCAAGGGGATTCGGCCCCTGAACCCCCAGCAAGCAAGCAAGAGATTCCTGGACACCGCCGCCTTTGTCAATGTCGTCATGGGTGACCATTGTATCTTCGAGGGATGCTGTTCCGCTCAGCCTATTCTGTCATGTATGGCTTGAACTTTCCGGAGAAAGGGGAGTTATCATCGTTTTGCTTGGTGCCTGATTTTCTGCACATAGGTCATGCGGCGAGGAACCGGTCCTGCCAATTCATACCCATGATGCATGCAAGCTGAGTGATGGCATCTTGTATCATATTTTCCCATCTGTTTTCTTGAGTACGTCCTCTGTATCGGTAGTGTTGCGCCTTTCATTTTAGGCTGGGGACCAGCCTTGCATAGTTGCAGTCGTTTTCTGCTGCATACAAAGCTTCCTGCTCTCAGCCAGAAAGGGCGGGGAAAAAGGGAGTTTCGTTTCAGCATATGTACTGTAAGGCCTGTCATCCTGCTGGTGCTTTCTAACCTCATGTACTGATCGACTGCAGCTTCGATACTCTTGGTTTCTCTGAGGCAATTGGACTGAGACTTAGAAGCATGTTGTTTATCGTGTTTGCTTGATTCTTATGTTGACGGGGAACAAATCCAGCGGATCATTACTGAAGTGACGTGACCGCACAATACCATCTTCTGTGCTGGTGTTAGTTCCGTGATATTCATGGGTGGCACTTGCACCGCATGATACATATTCGTTAGTCGTGCAGCGTTTTGCGTTTGAGCTCATGTCAGATCCGGGCAAAACCTAAGCCGAAAGCTATTCATTTGAGGCCTCTTCTTGGGGGGATCCCGCATCACGTCTGTCCTACAAAGCCAAACATCACGGGTACGGGAAGGCGCAGACGCTTCCCATGCCGGAGGAGGGAGAGGGAGAGAGAGAGAGAGGGGTCAGATGTTGTTGTGTTAATATTGTTAATCAGGACCAAAAACATGCAGAGACTCAGACTCCCAGCTGAAAGTCATGTCATACTGATTGTAGAACTCTGGGAAGTTTATTCCATTAAAATACACTACATGATCACCAAGGGGGAAACAATCAGCTTTTCACGCTCCTCCAAAAGCCCCACGAACATCGGCGGGGCCTACAAGGCCGACGGGCTTCAGACACCCCTCATGCCCCGGGGAAGAGAGAGAGAGGGAGGGAGAGAGAGAGAGAGCTCCCGCCTCACAAAATTGGTTGGTGTAAAAGTCCCGGCAACATGCCGCTTTCGTGTAGTCGAACTGGAGAGAACTCGCTCACACCCCGAGCAAAGCAAAGCAAACAAAACAGTCCGAGCCCATCCATACAAAATTTAAATGATGGATGGGGCAGCGAACCCGCCTGGGACGGAAGTCCGGGGGACTGCTTCAGCCCCAAGCCCCAAGCAAAGCAAATTGAATCCAGAGCTCGTTTTGTTGTGGGGACCGGCTTGACGGACTGACTGACTGGCTTTCTGAGGCTATCTCTGGCAGTGATCTTTGCAGCTGTGGCCAGGTCTGACCATAGCAGCTATCCATGAGACATCATGAGACCCATGAGCTCTTCAGGTTGCTTGCATGCCGCAGGCTTCTGATGACACTCATTGTCTTTTACCACTCTTTCCCGCCGCGCTTCCAGAACCAACCACCCCCGAAGCCACGAGGCGGGAGTTAGGGCGTTAGGGAAAATGACGGCAGACAGAAGACCGCTCCCTGTAATGTTCGCTTCAAGGTGCCTCCCAGGAGCTCATCGACTCTATGCCCTTGGTCGTGCCAGGGGCCCAAGGGCTCGGCTCACGGCGGAGCGGATCCGAGATTTGCAGAGAATTCGCAAATTGCGCGTCGTGTGCACTCCTGTGTGTCAGGTACTCCCCCGAGGTGCGTGGCGACTCGGAGACCAGCTGCGCGGTGTCGGCGACCCATGCCCGACTCTTTCACAGCTATAGTATAGAGCAATTTCATTGGCGGCTGCAGGTGCCTGAGTGAGTTCGACCGAGATGCCGTGTTGCGGCGTCTGCCCTGCGGCCACAGCTTTCACAGGCGCTCTTTTCTGGAATTCAAAGCGCAGCCGCGATTACGGAAATCTTCCAAGCCCTGCAGGGGCTGCATCGACAAGTGGCTGAAAAGAAACAAGGCCGGATACAGCAGAATCTCGACCGATGTCACGTGACATTGAATGTGTCACTCGAGGTTTGCCCTCTATGCCTCCAAGACATCGAGGACAGTGATTGATATTGTTAGCTGCCGCCTGTATCGCCTTCCTTTGTGCACATGTTGCGCCACGGGGAGGTCCCACAGTCGCCGAAGGGCCGCTGGGGAAAGGAAAAGGCCAACTGAGGCGCAGCTGGGCTTTGCTTCAAGACTTTTGGGAGGGATGGGTTGCATCCGAGGCTTTCTGGCCTGCCGGCGCTCAGCCGTAGGCCAGGCGCCATGATGTCCCACCTCTCTGTCTCTCCCAACGGTGGTATCGGCCAGGCTCCATGCGCCTGGGCGGAAGTCAGGAGGTCATGGTCGATGCGGCCTCGAAAAGTGATTTTAATTTGCAAGGGCAGGGGGGGGATGGAGGATTGGGGGCTTTACAGGGGGAGAAGAAAGCCCCTATCGCGGGGCGCCTCCCTCGCAATTCGAGGCTCTGGCGTGGATGAGAGGGCTCATCTCCCAGAAAGTGTTGTAAGAACCCTCGCCCGATTCATTCGCGCAGCAAGAATTTGACGGTTGTTCGACTTCCTTTTCAAGCTTAGGGCTCACGGCTTTCCTTGCAACATTACGAGAAAAGGGTCGCCTTAAGTCGTCGTACGCAGTGTCTTTTGTTTCCCCCAACCCTGCAACTTCTCACTGCTGCGAGGGAAGACGGGGGAAGTCCTATGACCGTGGCAGGGGCCTCGTGATAGCCGGCCCCTGCACGGGTGACACAGGCGAACTCGCCTCGAAAGACCTTGGAATGGTGATTGTTGCAGCTAGGGCAGCTCTGTCAACTGTACGCAATATGCCTTGGGACATGTTGCCAGCACTCAACGAGCTTCACAGATGCTGTTGCTGCCAGCTTCTTTCGGAGCCAAGCTGGCTCAGCTTTTGTCACCTTGTCCAGAGCCAGCTGCGCAGATGTTTGCAGCATGTCAACCCACGCAAACTTGAGCAGAATGCGATCGAACAAAAGGTTGCCGACTCGAAGGTCAGTGTGCTTGAAACTCGTGGAAGAGGTTTCCCGTCAGGTTCGGCTGTGCCCTCTAACCAGAAGCAGAAAGGCTGCACGCTGCTGCGCTTTACCCGTGCTCGAACTCACAGCACTTTGGGGCACGACACCAGGCTGTCCCCCTCGGCTGATGCGAAACCTGTATATGTCGTTGCTGCGGCAGAAGAGTTCGAGATCTACCTGCGATTACAGTTCTACCGTTCGGTCGGGATTTAAAAATACATTGAGCCAACTCCGAAAAGTGGAACTGTCTCAAAGATGATACGTGCTGGGATTCCCTACAACCAGTAAATGCGGATGATGAGTATGATGCTGTCGAGGGAGGCCTCTGCTTTTGTCACTCACGGGCCCAACATTGGGGCGGCCTTCTGGGCTTGCTCTTTCTGCAGAAAACAAGCAGAGGGAGAGAGAGAGTGAGAGGGTGCGTGAGACATAGTGAGACAGGAGAAACCAACGTAGGAGAACAAGCCCCAGCACTTAAATTAAATGGATATCACTCGCGATATATGCCGTGCCATTGATGCAGTATTGCAGCCAAATGAAGGTGGGCGGGTGCACAAAGAAGAGAGAGCTGCGCAGCACTGGAGCAGGGCAGATTCGGATTGCCCCGCTCTTGACAACCACGCCGCTGCTCGAGGGGGCAGTTTGGGCCAGCAGCGGGCTTCTCCCGGCCCGGGGGGGTCGGGTCGGTCGGCAAGCCTGTGCAGAGCCAGCCCTCTGCGATCGCGATGCGGTGGCAGCTGCCTTAGTACGTCACTCCTTGTCGCAGCCTTTTTCGATCGGATTTCTGAGGCTCTCCTCCGTGCTTGCAGCGCTGTCGGCATCCTTCGCTACCTGGCACGCGCCTGCGTCAAGCATAGTCAACCAGTGTCGGGAGCTACTGAGCTTGTGCTGCATCATGTCGCAGATAATGGGTGCGGTGCTTCCGTTGATCCGATTGCGTGTGGGAGGCTTCAGAAGCCTTCTCTTGCGGAGCATGTCATATGCATTGGGCAGGTATGCTGTGGATCAGCGCCGCCTGGAAGAGCTTCGGAGGCAAAGGGGAGGAAATGGGTCTGTGAGGAGAGAGAGAGAGAGAGAGAGAGGGAGACACGCGCGGGCACAGTCTCGTGCTGTGCTTTGGCTGTGTGCAAGCAGGAGAGAGAGAGAGAGAGAGAGAGAGAGAGAGAGAGAGAGAGAGAGAATGCCTACGGACAAACAGTACAGACACATTAGACATGCGAGCTCGGCCAGGCGGGGACAGCAGTGCTTTACTAAGTGCATGTGTGGATTCAGGGGTCCAATCTGGCCGAGCCGCAACAACCAGTCTCACTCAAGACACGAACCTTGGCGTAGCGCTCGCGCGCATGGGGTGTAGGGGCTTACCCTACCTCCCAAACGCCTTGCAAGCAAGCAAGCAAGCAAGAGAGAGAGAGAGAGAGTAGACTTTAGAGACCGCCCCCCAGCTTGTGCTGGATGCCAGACGGAGCCCTACTCCAATGAAAGAGGGAGCCCTATACTCCAAGCAAAGTCGTCGTCCAGCTGTGACAGGCGGCATTTCTGGCTGTTGAGAACTGTCTGCAAGCACTGCCTCCATGATCAGCGGTTATCATCTCGACTTGATCTGCAACGTACTGGAGAAGCACATCGTCCCATAGTGAGGATAGCCTCATTCGTTTGCGTCTTTCATCTGGGTGATGTCCTCCTCTTAGCTTGGTGGAACTTCGTGTGGTGTTACTTTTCCTACCAGACTTTGGGTGCCCTCCCCTGCTTCGAAGCTGCTCGTTGGCTGCCGATCTGGTTGAAAGCGTTCCTCTGCGTTGCACATCGCCTGTTCCTCTGCTGTGACGAGAGGGGAACATCTGCCTGCTTGGCATCTTGTGAAAGCGGTCTAAGTGCTATGGCTGCTATGGCTAGGCCCGAGGGGACACAACAGTATAGGAGTCGGGGCGCGTGCCGGCGCGTGAGGGGAGGCAAGTCTTGGAGTTTTCGCAAAGGCTCCCGAGTCTTCCGCCCGACGACAGTTGCCGGGTCTCGGGGTCTCGGTGTCTGCGTGCCTTAAGGGACCGTTTTCTCACTCCGAGGCCTGGAGCTGCAACGCCTCGTGGAGCAGCAGGCAGACGAGACGAGCAGTAAAAAAGTGGAGCTATTCTCAACTCCGGCCCGCTGTCCGTCCTGGAGGTTGCGCGGATCCTGGAGCTGGAAGGCATCCGAGATGCGCTCTCTCTCTGGCTTTCGATGTTGCGAGCTTGTACAATGTAGAGCTTGTGGCTGGTGAGGTGCAGGAGGAGAGCCAACGGGAGACCTCATCGGAAGGAGTTTAAGCCTGCTGCAGGCGAGCATATGGAGTAACGCTGCCTGTAGTATAAGCGAAGCGGCATCGACCAGCACAGGACCTGGGCAGCCACTCTGTCGAAGAGGGCTTAGCACTGCGTGGTTCCTATCCAGCCTACGTCTGCGCAAGCACGACCTACACGCCCGGACAAAGATGTAAATTGTAAACAGATACACATGGCCATGTGCAAGGCTCGGGTTGGGCCAGAGGCCTGAGTTCAATCACTATCGCAATCTTCTACGGCTGGGCGCCCGAACTCTTCCTGCACTGAGTCCTTGCTATGGCGCATGCCCCAGGAACACGTCGGAAGTCATCCATGCTGAAGCTGCTCGAAGGCGCGAGTCTCACAGGTCTCTGTGTGATTTTCTTCTCTCTCTCTGGCTTTCGCGTGGCGGCGGTGAGGCTGGAGGCGTTGCAGCCGGCCGATCCCTCGGACTAAACCCCTAGGCCGCCCTTGCCGCCCCCAGGCCCAGGCTGCACTCAGTGGAAGAAATCGAGTCGAAGACATCTTGACATGACAAATCCTAGCTGCCAGCAAGGTGGCGCTTGTCGCAGTCCAGAAGTGCTCCGAGCTCTACAGCCAGCTTCCTCCAGAGGCATCCTGCACACCCTTCATGAGAATCGAAGCAAGCCACGAAGTTTGCTCATGCATCAGTGTGCAGCATGTCCATCCAGCAAGCTTTGCGATCCCGACTGCAGAAGCTTCAAGCCTGAGCTTTGGGAAGTGTCTGCTGAAGGCTTGCACAAGAGCTGCGCTGAGGTGACGCAGCCGGTGCAGGGTGGTGTCCAGGCGGCCAAGGAGATGCGACGAGGGGGTTTGTGGGAAGCGGGGCCCGGCAGTCCGCAAAGGGCAGCTCAGCAGCCAGTGCAGGAGCTCCTGGAGCAGGTCCTTTCGCAAAGCAACAGCCGGCTTCAGGCGGCGCCTCTTTCTGTGCACAGCCCAGTCCGAGTCCGAGTCTCCTGTGCAGAGGAAGCCCTCAACCGGTTTTTGGATCGGTGACTTGACTTGCATTGAGTTCCTTGGTGCTTCAGAACCTGTTCAGAACCTGGTACTGTAGCTAAGTCGCATTTCGTAGACGAAGGCACCCGCAGCACCGCCCTAGCCGGGGACCCGGACCTTTGACGGGAGCTTTGCCTGGCTAGTGGTGAAAGCCGAGGCCTCACCGGAGTGCCACCGGCCACTGCCTGAGAGCAGATCGAGGCGTTGCGTTGGACCTTACCGCGTCCTTGTAGAACGGTTGAGGGTTGAGCTTTTTTGTCCGAGTCGTGAGTCTCTTAATTTGGTGTTGTAACCTTTATGGATGCCGTACCGGCCCAACGTGAGGGCGAAATGAAACATGCTCCACCCCTGCCCGCGCAACAACAATATTCGCATGCCGCATCAGCAATATCAGCAACAACGCAGAGGAACACACAAAAACGACCACACTCCCAGCTGGCTCAACTTTGCTCTGCTGGGTCTTTCGACAGACTGGATATTCCTTCGACCGAACCGAGTGCCGGGGTATAGGGAGATGTCTGCTTCGCAAAGAAGCCGGCTGATCAGTCCACCGTTTTGTCGAACACTTGTCAACTGCATTACACAAAGTTGTTTTACTTTCATAGCCTTCCCGATTGACGAAGTGCCATTTCTAGGTGGCACCACAACCACATCGTTCCGACTTATCCGTGGACTGTAAGTCGGGAGTTGGGCCAGTCGCATTTGTTTGATGGGCGACTAGACATAAACTGCCAAAAATTGTTTGAACGTGTCACGCACATTGGGGTGGGGTTTGTTTCTGGCAGAGATGTCTGCTGTACCGAGCTTGTTCGGGGAGACTTCGCCGTTGTTGTATGTACGGGTGATGATAGTCTTTTAGTCATGGCATCCATCTTGGATGTGTATGTGCGCGTGATCGCTCCCCAAGCTGGCAACCATGCAGTTGCAGCGGCCGCAGTCCAGCGAAGAATCCGGAGGATGTAATGGCCCTGGCCAACTTGCTAACAACGACTCAATGGGATGGATTATTCAGAGTTTGCGACCTGGTAAAGCACTGTGAGCAAGTGGCACTCCGCGAAGACGAAAGGCAGCGTGCAGCATTATGTGTCATATCATATCATGTGTCAGGGTTCACAAACACATGCTTCAGAGACCTCAGCAGACTGTGCGGCCGGTCTGAAGCCCTGCTTTCGTAGTGTGGGAGGGGCGTCAGCCAGTTTGCGGCTTCGGCATCTCGTCGGGAGTTTTGCGAGGCCTTGGTCTTTGGAGTGCTGGCTCTGGTGCTGCTGGAGTCTCTGATGTGGGTGCCCCGAATCCCGCGCAGACGTTCTTAAGCCAGCGGCGTGTTAAGCTGTTGCAGGCTCTTGCTTGGCAAAGTATCAACACATTGACAGATCTCCTGAGCAATGCGAGAGCAGCAGCATGGTTTTATGTTACTGGTAGCAGCAACGAATGTTGTCTTCCTTGACCAAGAATTATGCCGAGGCCCGTCTACCTCAAACGTGTAGTAGCTTCCGAGGTGGTTCCGTTCGCTTGTGCTGTGCTGCATTCGCGCAGGGCTCGGCCCGAAGGATCCTTCGGTCGCTTCGCGGTTTGCCCGTTGGCTGTGGAACTGTCGCAGGCTGCATCTGCAGAAGAAGGAAGACACGGCCGGGACTGGGCCCCGGCTCCGCCGGCCCCGGCCTTGGAAGGCCCAAGAGCTCTTGCAAGTGTTCGGCTTCCAAGAAGGCAACAAGGAGAAGGAAAAGTTGGAGAAGGAGAAGAAGTGATTGGAACAAGAGCTTCACTAGCACCAGGGGCTGTGCAGGGGCTCAGGAGGTGCGGGAGAGGCTGAATAAAAAGGGTGAGATCGCATGGACAGCGCATGCATGTTTGTCTCGCCGCCCGATTTGCCCAGTTTCATTTGCAGCATTTCAAAGCCTGGGCTCTGCCAAACTAGGAATTTACACGAGCAGCTCAAGAGTACTGAGCGTAGCGATTCTTGCCTGTTGAGTGCCTCCGCGATGCCCACTTCGACTGCACAGCATAGCCGTTCCTTTTGCAGATCATGTGGCCGCGCCGGCCTGAAGGGTGAAGGGGAAGGACAGGAGAATTCTAGAAAGTCGGCAGACGCGTGCCGCATTGGTAGCTTGCTGGCTCAGCCCTTGGCTCAGTTCTGTTCCCCAGCCTCCGCAGCCCGGTCTCCTCGTGTCACAGCATGGGCGCCGGCGGCTCTGCCGGAAAGAAGGCGCCTCCTAGTCCTGGCTACCCCGAGCCTGCAGACCAGAAGCCCGTCGCGAGTGCTCCCAGCAGTGCCGCCAGCACCGGGAATCCTGTGGCCGCGGTGCCCACGGCTCAAAAGCCTCCACCTGCGCCCAAGGCTGCGGATGGCGAAGCGGGAGCCAGCCAGGCCAAGAGCGTTCTGATAAAAATGAGTTCAACTTAGAACTGAGTGATCAGACAATCTGACATTCTCAGACAACTTCGAATCAGTTTTGTCTTGTGGCCCACGGTTTTCAGCTCAGCTGCAGAAGTTGTAGTTTGCGCTGAAGTTGTTGTGAATGTCTTGCGTTGCGACGTTCTGTACGTTGGGTCCTGGTCCTGGTTGGTGAGCGGCTAGTGCTGCTTAGCCCTCGCCCGGCAAGTGCAAACTAGAGGCCAATGGTTTGTAAAGGCAAGTCCTGTCGAAGCCTGCTTCGCTCAATGCTGCCCCAATCCTGCTGCCAGGTGGTTGGTGGGACTTGGACGAAACCCTCAAACACGGGACCATCGCCCGAGGACGCCAAAGTGGTGGAGGAGTGGAAGGCCGCAGGAAGGTTAGTAGAGATGGAAGGCGTTTGGTGCGCCGTGCCCTACAAAATAACCGTCATTGCCGCCGAAGGCACAGTGGAAGCAAGCGAGGCACAAAGGATTGTCGACGAGGTCTTCGGCGAAACGGAGAAGACCTTCAGCCACTTCGTCGAGGACTCCGAGGTCTCGCAGCTCAACAGGCTTGCAAAGAAGACGCTCTTCAAGCCTTCGCCTGCCATGAAACAGGTCCTCTCCGCCGCGAGCACTATGAATCGCATGACTCGTGGAGCCTTCGACCCTGCCATTCTGCCTTTGGCAGCGCATTACAAGAAGACCCCAGCAGTGGAACCATCCAGCGACCTGATAGGCTACAGCAAGTGGTCTGCTTTTGAGATCACGGAGGAGGGTGTTACAAAGCAGCACGATAGCGCCATGATGGATCTCTGTGGCTTGGCCAAGGGCTGGGCTATTGACGAGATGAGTCGGCGGTTGAAGGACTTCGGCTTCACTGCGAGCTATGTAGATTGGGGTGGCGACATCAAAGTTAGTGGGCAGCATCCGACAGGCCGCAACTGGACGGCCGCCGTTCTTGAGCCATATCCTCTAAACGGCTCCAATGAGCCTGAGAAAGCCGAAGCCGAGGGCAAACAGGCTGAGCATATCGCACACATCGAGCTGAGGGATGGCCAGGCCATCGCCACTTCAGGCGACTACTTGCAACAGTTGTTAGATGAGAAGAACCAGAAGAACCGGTGCCACATCTTGGATGGACGAAGTGACAAGAAGCTCGTGCAGATCTCGCATCATTCCGTCGCCTCGGCTTCGGTGGTTTGCAGCTCCTGCATGCTCGCAGATGCGTTGGCCACATCCGCCCTGGCTGTGGGGGAGACGTCCGTGAGGGAGTCACGGAAGCTCCTGGAGATCTTCACAGGCCATGCGCTCAAGGACATGCAGCAAGCGACTAGCATGCCCAGTTCGCGCCCTTAGCGATCCTATAAATCAGGACCCGGTCACAGACTTCCTGCTCTTCTCGCGGCTGGGCCCTCGGGTGGTGCGATGGCGCCCCCCGGGCAGCGAGGCTCAAGAGCACCGCGAGCTCCGCCACACCTCCCACGAGGAAGGCGAGAGAGAGAAACGGAGACACAGTTTATCCACGGGGGGGGGTGGTGGGGGCCCGCACCGCGCACCGCAGGTGCCCATGTGGTCATCGTCGGGGGCGGCCTCGCGGGAGTCAGTGCCGCTGTCGAGGCCGTCAAGGCCAAGGCCACGGTTACTCTCCTCGAGAAGGCGCATCCACGAATCCAAACGCTGTGGCCGGCATGGCATGGGGCCACTCTAGAGGTTCTCAAAGTAATAGGAAGTGTCCTCATCTCTCTCCCTCTCTCTCTCTCTCGTTCTCTCTCGCTCTCCCTCCTTCGAAGAGTGTCTCCCCTCTTCCAGCGACCTAGCGTGCAGTCGGCTAGTGTTTGAGCCTTTTCAGTGTTCTCTCATGATGAGTTCATCACTCGATCTGGGATGCAATGAAAGGAGGCTCAGCTGGGCGGCAACTCTGCAAAGGCCACGTCGGGCATCAATGCGTGCGGCACACGGGTGCAGAAGGCACATGGCGTGGATGACGATGTGCGATGGCTGGAGCGCGACACCTTCGTGAGTGCCAAAGGGGGCAGCTCCGACCAAGGATGCGTGTCGATGCTGGCTTCCAAAAGTGCCGAGGCAATCCATTGGCTCATCGACGAGCTTGGCATTCCTTTGAGCCCTTTGGCTGCCTTCGCGAGCCCATGTCAGATGATTCGGTTTCGCCGAGAGGCGATCACTCTAAGGTGAGCTGTCGCAGCTGGGTGGCCACGCCAAGAAGCGGACTCACCGCTGCCCGTCCCGATGTGTGAAAGCTTGAGGTACATTCTAGTCTTGTCAGGTGGCTGCACGCAGTTCTGAGGCTGCCCGCCCAAAGCTGACGGTACGCCGGTGCCCGTTGGCTACACCATCATGCAGCACGCTCGGGCAGCGGCCATGGCCATCCCCGGCGTTTCCGTGAAGACCAACTCCACCATGAAGTCGGGAGCCCGGAAATCTCTTCCTGCATTCCTTTGCAGGTGTCACGGTGTCCTGTCCTTCCCAAAGCCTTCGAGCACCTATTCTAGGCCCTTCGGGGGGAAAGGTTCAACGCCGCTCCGAAATTCACGACATCAATGTGTGTCATCATTACATCGTGGGAGCGAGCACGACGCTTGCAAAGATGCTGATGAAGGTAGGATATGTTTTTCCCAAAAACGACGGTCCTTGTTATTTAGTCTTTCCTTCCCGCGGGGGAGCGTTCACAAAAAACCGTTGCCGTGGACCGAAGAGGACGCGTCCACGGCAGGGTGTCGACGGGCTGGAAAGCTCTCGGTGCCGAGCGTCCGAGCGTCCGTGGACGGGGGCCGGGGCCGTGGACGGGTGGGGGAGGTCTGGTGCCGAGCGTCCACGTGAGGACGCGGCCGTGAAACCCCGGAAGCCCTGCTCTGGATCATTGTTCCCTCATGACTCATGCCTATTGAACGGTTTGGTTTTGGGGTTCCCGGCTTGACCTTGTTTTAGATGTGTTGTGCAGCGCAAGCGGATGAATGCATCTCAGGAGGCTGCTGCAGAAAACCCGCGAGGACGGAGCCCTAGAGGTTTGCGGCGTGGAGTACGCAGATGCAAACGGGGAGCTGCAGACTTTGTCCTGCGATGCCGTGATCCTGACGACCGGCGGCTTTGGTTTTGACCACAGCGACGGGAGCCTGATGAAGCAGTACAGGCCCGACTTGGTAGGGGTTCCGACGACCAACGGGTCGTTTGCAAACGGCGATGGCATGAGATTTGGCTCGGAGGTTGGAGCATCCTTAGTGGACATGGACAAGGTCCAGCTGCATCCCACAGCCTTGATCGACCCGAAGGACCCACTGTGCCACACGAAGTACCTGGGCCCAGAGGCCCTGCGAGGGTCAGGTGGAATTCTTTTGGACCAGCAGGGACGGCGCTTCGTGAACGAACTCGACCTGCGCAGCACCGTTTCCGCCAAGATCTTGGAGCATTGCGAGGAGTACCATATAGAGGGCTCCTCTGAAAAGGGCAGGCCCTGGTCTTGGTGCGTCTTAAACCCGGAGTGCCAGCAGAAGTTCGGCTTGCCGATGCTCGGCTTCTACAAGAGCCAAGGCTTGTTTGAGGAGGTCTCGAACGGCACAGTGGGGCTCGCAGAGCTTCTAGGCTGCGAGGAGCAGACCATCAAAGATACCTTGGCAGAATATGCTAGTGCCTGCGCTCAGAAGATCTGCCAGAAGACCGGCAAAACAGTCTTCCCTTCCAAAGTCACCGAGAAAGACCAAAGTTTCGTGGTGGCGAGGATCACGCCCTGCATCCACTACTGCATGGGCGGTCGCTTGGAGACAGGAAGGCGAAAGGTTCTCTAGCGTTTTCTGCTGGAGGCTGTATCATACTAATTCACACTGTTGAAGACCCACAGACCCGGTCTTCAGTCTTTATGCCGAAGTTTACTGGGCAACGAAGGCTTGGAAATCTCTCCCAGTGGCGAGGTCTTGACCAGGAAGGACGGAGCCATGGGAAAGCGCTCGAAGATCCACCGCTTCTTGGCTGTAAACGAAATGCTTACAAGACTCCAGGAGCATTGCGTCACCTTGTCGAGGCGCGAACGTCCACTAGTTGTGGGAAGTTGAGTCCTGCCTGACACTGAAGCCTGCCGTTACGTGGCCTTGCGCAGCGAGAGCCTTGAGGATGGCACGGGGGAGAGCGACAGAGAGAGTGCGCCCAGCCAACACACGGGCTGCTCCCGCGGGGGCATGCCCTCAAGCCTGGGGAAAGAAAGAGAGAGAGAGAGAGAGAGGCCGAACCTTCTGAGATAACATCCCACATGTGACTTGTAAGCTTGGTTTGTAACTTTAAGCATACTGCAGTTCGGCCTTTGGGCCATCGCTCCGCATCGTTCAATCTCCGCTCAAATGCACCAGCGGGGAAGCTAAAT